ATTTAGCGCTGCAATTTTATTTTATTTATAATACTTTCATTTAGCAAGGATGCTTTAAATTGATCAAAAAGATTATAATGTTACAAAAGATTTCTATTTCAGATAAATGCTGTTCTTCTGAACTTTCTATTCATTAAAGAAACCTGAAAAAATCTACTCATTTGTTTTCAACATCATAATAAATGTTTTTGAGCAGCAAATCAGCATATTACAGTGATTTCTGAAGGATCATGTGACTGGAGTAATGATGCTAAAAATTAAGCTTTGAAATCACAGGAATAAATCATATTTTCAAATAGAAAACAGTTATTTTAAGTAAAAAAAAAATTCAAAATGTTACTGTTTTTGCTGTATTTTGGATCAAATAAATGCAGGCTTGGTGAGCAGAAGAGAATTCTTTAAGAAACATTAAAAATCTTACTGTTCAAAAACTCTTGACTGGTAGTGTACGTCAGCCTATAGTTTGATATAAGGTAAACATTCATTTATTTGTGCTGTTTCTTTTTCTTAAATATCCTATAGTTTTATAGGAGGAGGTTTCATAGACTTGGAAAATTCATTTTTCAGAAGTTTGTATGCACAGACATCTGTTGTGGGCGTTCTTGGCAGTTTTTATGAGGCTTCTTTTTTTTTTTAAATAGTGTTCATATCGATATCGGAATTATATCGTATCGACCAAAATTAAGAAATATATCGTGATATCAATTTTGGCCATATCGTCCAGCCCTATTTACAGCTTAATTTACGAGATAAACATCTTTTTTACATGTACAAAAGACACATCTAATGAGGCCCTATGATAAAAGTGTAATTTGGAAAAAATGCACAATTTGCAAATGGTTTTCTTTAGATGCCACTGAGAGAAGAAATTTGTAACCTGTGTGCTTGACACTCTCCACGCGGCACAAATTATTAAGGGTGTATGTATAATTTAAGTGAAATTATTACACATGGAGAATAATATCGCCTAGATATCAAAGTAGTAATTGCTGGAAACAGAAAATGTGATATAATTATACAGTAACCCAGTTTTCTGAATTATGAACCAATGTGGATCATACTGTTATGATTAATAAAGTGAACAATATACTGTATGTTCTTGTCACATTTAACATAATCTTTCAACATTTTTGTTCAGCACATCAGTTTTTGCAATTAAAATTCTCATCAAAAAAGTCTGATTATGTCCAACAAGTACCTCATAGAAAGTTGTTCTTGCTGTTTCAAGCCACTAGAAAGAACATCACAAACAACTTTCATTCATAATGTGTTCCAGTTAAAGGACGTTGAGGTTCTGAGTCCCAGAAACATCCCAAAGTTTGAACCTCAGTAGTCTGTGCTGTTCTTTTTAACAGGTGCTGGTCTCCAGTCAGGTTGATAGAAGTGTATGTTGAACATACGTGCCCAGTTGGCAAAGACACGTTTCTCTGTGATGAAACGATGGTGGCTGCCATGCCGGCCCTGCTCGTGGGAGAGATACATTTTGCATTCATCCGGCCCCGCAGGCTCGTAGTAGTGATACGGCACTGAGGGCTCAGGGCTGCGAGACCTGAGAAGAACAATCACATGTCTAACTGAAATTGTCATAAACCAACAAAATGAAAGCATTATGGTGAATATGGAAAAGAAAGTCTCACTTGCAGAAGTCAGGAGGAATCATGCCATAGACATCAATTCTGTCACAAATCTCCATAGCGATTGCCATGGTGAACCAACCCGTGCTGAGCCATGAATTGGACCTTTTTCTGAATAACACACGAGAGAAAGAGGACATCTATGTAGCTGTGATGATTAAATGACAAGGTTACTTGTTTTCACATATCACGTGATCCTTCAGAAATTATTCTAATATGCTGATTTGGTGCTTTGCCATCACAGGAATAAATGACATTTTAAAAACAAATCACAATAGAAAACAGTCCCTTTAAATTGTAATAATAGTTCACAATATTAATGTTTTTTTCTTTATTTTTGATCAAATAAATGCAGCCTTTTTAAAGCTTACTTAGGGGAAGTCGTGGCCTAATGGTTAGAGTCGGACTCGTAACCCAAAGGTTGCGGGTTCGAGTCTCGTACCAGCAGGGATTGTAGGTGGGGGAGTGAATGTACAGTGCTCTCTCCCACCTTCAATACCACGACTGAGGTGCCCTTGAGCAAGGCACCGAACCCCCAACTGCTCCCCGTGCGCCGCAGCAAAAAATGGCTGTCCACTGCTCCGGGTGTGTGTTCACGGTGTGTGTGTGTGCACTTTGGATGGGATAAATGCAGAGCACTAATTCCGAGAATGGGTCACCATACTTGGCCACATGTCACGTCACTTTCACTTTCTTTACAAAAATAAAATGCAATGCATGCTGTCTCCTTGGAAACATGTTTAGATTTTTAACAAAAACATTTTCAGAATCACATGTACAATGTTTTTAGTTTGAATGGACGACTTAGATAACTCGCAAAGGGAGACGGATTAAGATAAAAGAGATATAAGGAGATAAAAGATCCACAAACAGACAGAAAAAACTCAAAAGTTTAAAAACATGTGAGCATTTTGCCCTGAGCAGTTCGGTGTCTGGTTGGGTACATCCCAGCTGGCACTGATCCTCTACTAACCCTTAATCTACACTGATGCCAAGCCGTATGCCCTGTGGGCCAGTGATACCAACCCTCCAGCAGGCTCTGATGGTCTGCACATTAGTTTAACCCCCCCCCCCCCCGCTGCATATATTGAAACTTCAATCTCTCTTTAAAGAATCAAAAACCGGTTTGACTGACTAATGGCAGATTTGGTTAATAAAATTACACAATTCAATTACAGCTTTTTTATAATGACTATGGCTGTTCAGTCCTGAGCAAAATTACAAAAAAAAATTTTTTAAATGAATTAATAAAAATAATGTAAATAATAGTTTGTTGAATAAACCTGGGTGTACACAACTAAAATTATTTTGCTAACATTTTTACTACAATTTATTTTGAGTCATGAATATAAAAACATTTTCTGAGTCAAGGTTTTTTGTTTTTTTTGTACTCCATGTCCTGAACAAAAATTGCCTTTTCATAAAAAGGTCAAAATATTTTTGCATTTGATAAATTGGCCTCAACACAGTCTTAAGATTCTAAAGTCCTCTTATAAAATAAAGTGTTGTATATAGTTTCTACAGTGTCTTGCAGCAAGTGGTACAAATCAAGGGAGATAATCCAATTTTTCCTGCTTTCATGACGCCAATAAATCACCATGCTTCAACGAACACACTCTGGAAAAGTAACAAAGATTAGGTAAGCTAACACAAAGAAATATTACCATCCATCCTTACCTATCTTTCCCTGTCTCCTTCTTAAAGAGCTCATCAAAATGCAGCATCTTTAAACTCGAGATGACGTACACCTGTAGTTTAGGCATCATCTGCTTCAACAGACGCAGGTTGTTGTAGACAAGGCCTTTACCGTCTTGTCGCATGTAGTTTCCGGGCCCCCAGAAGATAAAGAAGGTGTTCTGGCTGGAGTTGAGTAGCTCGTGTCGGTTTCGTAGCACACGTTGCATGCTGGAATGTGCGACCACACGCAGGCTCGTTCGCTGGCCCACGTCCCTCTGGTAGCCTCGTGTTGGGGCATCATTCATACGGATGACGCACTCCTTGCGGTCAATCTCCACACCTCGACCACTTCCGGTCATGTGACCAGAGCTGGTCACTAAGGCACAACTTTTGCAATGCATCCTAAGAGGCTGAGGATGGAGACAATAATGAGATGTTTTAGACTTCATGTACATAATATAATTCATTCAAGTTGGTTTCATATACTTCTGAAAAAATGTAAAAATAATTCTACAAAAAGTATGATCTAATAACTAAAAACTGGTGATAAGTAGTGGTTAATTAAAAATTACTAAAATACTTCCCTTGCATCTGGAATACACATGAGTGAATACACATTTAAATTTATTAAAAATTTAAAAGATTTTTTACATTTTCAAAATTCTGACAAAATTATTTTTGAGTAATGAATCATTTCTGGGTTAAGTGTCTTTTTTTGTATTGAATTTCCTGACCAAAAACTGCCTTTAGAAGGTCAAAATATTTTTTGAATTATGACCTCAACAGGTTAAAATAAACCGTAAAAAAAAATATATATATTTTTAATGGGTCACAAACACACATCCATTCTATTTTTATTTCAAACTAATTTATTATTCTAATCTTATCCGTTAACGGTTAATGTTCGGATAACAATTAACGGTTGTCGGTCGGGAAAATTAACCGAAATGAACATTCCAGCTACTCTTCAGGGTGAAATTAAATTGGAAAACTATTTCCCTCCACTGATGGTTAGAAAAAATATGTGATTTTTGATGAAGACTTGTAGGCCATGTTCATTTAGCAATCTTCCACACTGGCTGTTCATTTGCACTAATACGAGCTAATCTTCAGTTTCTGACTGTTACAAAATTACTTCCACAGAGTATCCATTAAAATCTGCCTTTGAATCCTGGAGCTCTTATTAAGGAGTGAAAGGAGTGCTCTTTTGACTAATGAGAACTGGTAGACTTGAGAGCCCTTTCTGTCAGTGAGAAGTATGATAGAGATGCCTTATGACTCTGAAGAATACTACAGGCTTTGATGAGCACAGGTATTGTCAGGGTCAAATGTAAATATGGCAAAGATGTGAAAAATATAAAAAACTTTTCAGTAACAAGAACACAGCTCTTTTAGATATTTTATATTTAGATGCTTTATATTTCATCATACCTATAATAAAGGCAAAGCTCACCCAAAAATACAAGTTATATCATAATTTACTGACCATCATGTCTTTCAAAACAATTGTGAAAATCAAAAAAGGTTAGTTATGGCAGAATGTCCAAGCTGCTCTTTTCCAGACAATGAAATTGAATGGTGACCATGAATGTAGAGCAAGTATTTACTTTACACTATGTGTACTGTTACACTATGCACTATGTACTGTATCTGACACAAAGCTAGTTTATGGCTTCAGAAGCCTTGAAATATAGTGAATAATGCTGCTTTTTGGTGCTTCTTTTTTGGAGCTTGACAGACCCTGGTCCACATCCACTTTCACTGGAGGAGAGCAGAGTAAACATTCACCAAAAATGTCCCTTTATCTTCCACAGAAGAAAGAAAGCACATTGGGGGTGAGTAAATGATGCAGAGCTTTCATTTTCAGGTGAACTAGCCCTTTAATGACCAAAATATATCATCCATGTTTACCTGATATACTTATGCAGGTAATCAGTGTGTATTCTCTCATTACGCACACTATATACAGTACATATAACTATATGTGAATTTTTAACACCCATGAGAGTAAACAGCATTTCTGCACAGTTGTAGTGTTAAACAAAATTCTGTCAGTGAGAAGTATGATAGAGATGCCTTATGACTCTGAAGAATACTACAGGCTTTGATGAGCACAGGTATTGTCAGGGTCAAATGTAAATATGGCAAAGATGTGAAAAATATAAAAAACTTTTCAGTAACAAGAACACAGCTCTTTTAGATATTTTATATTTAGATGCTTTATATTTCATCATACCTATAATAAAGGCAAAGCTCACCCAGAAATACAAGTTATATCATAATTTACTGACCATCATGTCTTTCAAAACAATTGTGAAAATCAAAAAAGGTTAGTTATGGCAGAATGTCCAAGCTGCTCTTTTCCAGACAATGAAATTGAATGGTGACCATGAATGTAGAGCAAGTATTTACTTTACACTATGTGTACTGTTACACTATGCACTATGTACTGTATCTGACACAAAGCTAGTTTATGGCTTCAGAAGCCTTGAAATATAGTGAATAATTGTTAATTGTATAATGTATTCTCTCATTACGCACACTATATACAGTACATATAACTATATGTGAATTTTTAACACCCATGAGAGTAAACAGCATTTCTGCACAGTTGTAGTGTTAAACAAAATATTTTTTGAGAGAGAGAGAGAGAGAGAGAGAGAGAGAGAGAGAGAGAGAGAGAGAGAGAACTGAGAGACAGATTTACATCCATGATAGTTCTGGTGATTACAATGCCTCAAGATGAGGCCAAAGCTTGACAACACCTGTTTGCAGCTTCCAACTTTATCTGATCAGGAGTGAAGAAAGAAATTATAGCATCACTGGAAGGTGTAATTTAAAAGACTTTTAAGACCAGCACCTAATTTATCATGAAAAACTGCAGAGAGACAGGAGACACAAAAAAATGACAGAAAGAAAGAAAAATGGCCAAGTCTTCTGAATATTATAGTGCACTGCACATCATATAATGCCAGTGCCAATATAATAATGCTTATCTGTCTGAGGATATTATTTGATGACTAAGGAGAAAAGCAACTGCATCAAAAGTGTTTAATGAAAAAATGTAGGAAATCTTCATATTTAAGTTATACATGGAAAATTATCCAAATGTCTTGACTCATTCAAATAGGAGTTAATGGACTTATGCATGAGTGTGCAGTATAGGAGACCCGAGACTAGTCAGATACAGTTTGAGAGGGGATATTTTAAGGTAAACATTTACTGTGATTTCCAGATGTCTGTGAAACATTTAAATGTATATATATATTATATATAAAAAGAACAGATTAAGGTGCTGAGCATTCAACTTTCACACACAAAAAAGTAAAAGCCTTAATGAGAGGAATGTCTAGAAACTTGCTGTAAAAATACATTTTAACATTGTAATAATTAAATCAAAAGTCATTTATTATAACTTACAAGCGAATTATGCAATTTCACAGAAGATCTCACAAGACTGATCGTCAAAACTAAATGTGTTTATTAATACATTTGAAACCATGTAAGAAGAAATATATTTTTAAGGTTTTCATCGCAATTAGTTTATACATTTTAAAGTGCCATATTAATAATTTTAGTGCTTGATTGCATTTTACAGACCTAATGAAAGTAAGTCACCTTATTATCAATAATGCTGCTGTAACCTTCTAAGTGGGATGTTTGCGGTTGTAGAACATCCATCTGATGTCCATCTGACTGCATCTGATTTTCTGGTGTGTCGGTAAAACTGCTGTTGAACAGGAACAATAAGCTTGTAAACACGCATACAGCACCAATCAATATGATCCCATGACGCTGAAACAAGAGGAACAAGAAACTTTTATTGAGAGTGCTCAGATTATCCTCCATCAATGCTTCCGCTGACAGATGCATCAGTAAATTCAAGGGTTAGTTCACCCAAAAATGAAAATTAGCCAGTTTTTTACTCACCCTCGAAACATCATATGTGTATATGACTTTCTTCTTTCAGACAAATCCAGTCTGAATTATTAAAAATTGTCCTTGCACTTCTAAGCTCTATCATTGCAGTCAGCGGGTGTTTCTGTTCAACTGTCCACAAACCGCCAAAGTGCGAAAAAATGCGCGTGTCCATAATAAAACGTGCCTCGCACGGCTCCGGGGGTGAATAAAGGCATCCTGTAGTGAATCCATGTGTTTTCATAAGAAAAATATCCATATTTCAGATGTAATAAACACTTTTCTCTCACTTCTGCTGACTGTCGTACGCGGAAGCCGTTCCGACAAATGACGCAGGACGTATGCGCGCGCCTCTGAGATATGCTAGTCTCACGAGTTTGTTTATAGGATCAAAGGAAGCAAAGTTTCCTTACTTTATCAAAGGAAAACCAGTCTGCTCTTAGCTTATATTTGAAATCCTCCTACATTTTTCTTTACAAATCATCGGTTTGTGCTTCTAATTCGTGACCGGCGTTTTGTTTTGTTCTCTCTCCACATTCATCACTAATCATGCTACGCCGACGTCCTACGTCATCCGCCGGAACGGCTCCCGCATATGACAGATACCGGAAATGAGAGAAAAGTGTTTATTACGTTTGAAATATGGATATTTTTCTTACAAAAACGCATTGATTCACTACAGGAGGCCTTTATTCACCCCCCGGAGCCGTGTGAGGCACGTTTTATTATGGATGCGCGCGCTTTATTTGACGACTTGTGGACTGTTCAACAGAAACACCCGCTGACTGCAATGATAGAGCTTAGAAGTGCAAGGACAACTTTTAATATAACCCCGACTGGATTTGTCTGAAAGAAGAAAGTCATATACTCCTAGGATGCCTCGAGGGTGAGTAAAACACAGGCTAATTTTAATTTTTGGGTGAACTAACCCTTTAAACCTCATTTTGAGGCATGAATGAGATGTAAAAAATTTACCACAGTATAGGAGAAAAAGATTTGGTACATAGTTTTACAATTAAATAAGTTCAATTAACTGAATGAGCAGCTGGTGCGTTTCAAAAAAAGAACAATTACATGAAATTTACAAGCCTCGGGTTAGGGTAAGTTGTGTTAACTTAAAGAAAAAAAATTTGGTTTTTACAGTTAGGGTTAGGGTTAGTTTTTAAGTTAAATTAAATGTTTTATAATTCCATTACCCATCCTAGCATCACTGTTTTAACCAAAATTATGAAATGATAAATAAAATTACATCCCAAACAAGAATTTACACATACACACACGCACACACACATATATATATATATATATGTATGTGTGTGTGTGTGTTTTTTTTTGTGACAAATGAGGACATAAATTTGTATAATGACAAAGGTATGACATAGGTATTACAAGAAATGACTTTTCAGGACATTACCCCATGTCCCCACTTTTCAAAACGCATATAAATCACACAGAATGGAGTGTATTGAAAATCTGAAATAGCACAAATTTTCCTGTAAGGGGTAGGTTTAGGGGTACACATCAAAATCCCCAGAGTTAAATCAACTCTGCTCAGAGTACTAATTGCCCCAATCTACAGAGTGTTAAAGTAACACTGAAGCAGAGTTGCCACTGTTGAGGATTATGTGATATGTTTTCATGTCTAAACGCCTGAGCAGTAGTTGTTCATCTTCAACATTGTTAACATCAGGTTTTCTTTAATAATGCTCACTCATCAATGAATTAATTGCTTAACTATCCCATTAACTTTAAGTCGGCTTCAGTGTTACTTTAACACTCTGTAGATTGGGACAATATGTACTCTGAGCAGAGTTGATTTAACTCTGGGGATTTTGCTGTGTAGGGTTGGTGTAGGGCAATAGAATATACGGTCTGTACAGTATAAAAACCATTACGCCTATGGGATGTCCCCACTTTTCACAAAAACAAACCTGTGTGTGTATGTTCAAATTAAATTGCATTGAATTATTGAATTTCATTTATATACATAGCCATTTGAACACAAAAACGTGCTCACCAAACATTAAATTTGCCAACATATCCATGACAAAAATGTCTCCATTTGATATATTAATCATGCAGGCATCTGTAGTAAACAGTCTTGATTGTTATCAGGCTTACAACAGTTTACCATGGCAAACGCAGTTTCCACCAAAATAGTATCAGGCTAATACTTAGTGCAACTTGCCATTGTCACCAGAAAGTAAATAACAACAAAAAGGCAGAAAGATTCTGAAAGTCTGGAGAAAATGTCTTATTCATCACTGATTACGTTTTTTGCAGTAGCTACAATAACTGGAGTAATATGACACTGTGTCGGACACTACGTACCATGGTAAATGTTTGTAAAGTTACTCTATAATGTCAGAGAGAGTTTGCGCTACCGTTCGCGTCTTCATATTGTGAATTGTTTAATTCTGTCCGTTACGTCCAGACGTGTTCTTCAGCCTCAACGATAGCAGCTTTACAAATCCACACTTCACATCTTCAACCCAGCACTTCTGCTCGCACATCCTTCCTCGCCGTCAAACTGGAGCTCTACTGAACTCTGTCAGGTCTACAGTCACCCGCTCACACGCTGCTGCGCGCGCGCGGTCTTAAAGAACGCCGAGTATCAATCCCTTACAACTAATTCAAATCATTTAAAAATATTGTAACCAGAGATAGAAGTAGCCTATATTGTAAAATGTTTAGGTAGTCAAAGACTGTCGCTATAAAGCTCGAAATGTTAGCTACTAGGTGTGTGAGTCTCTGAAGGGACCGTGCTTAGTGCTGTTGCCTACATTGTCTTCATATACCAGGCTCCACATTCTAAATTGGGCTTATGTAATTTTCCTCTTTTGCATATTTACATTGTATATCAGTTTGATTTTGACAGCCGGCTCACAATATAAAATCACAGTGCTCCCTTGATTGTTACCCATATAACGGCGAACTATCTTCATAGTACATTTTTAAGGGGTTGATTTAAATCTATTTCTTTTTGGATTTGCATTCATATATGTACTTTCATTTTATTCCCTCAGGCCTTATAAATACAATTTATATGACATTTTAGAGGAATTTAAAGGAAAATAAATAAAATACTGTTTTCTAGAGTAATGAATGATTTGTAGTGCTGTGATGATATTACTGTAATTCAGTTCTCCATTCTCCATTATGTCGTATTAATGAGATGGCTTGATATATGATATATGTCAATTATCAGCAGTATGCAGCGGAAGATATTTGATCATTTTATTTGTAGTCATTTGATATTTCAGTCTGAGTCTGGCTGACACATCATGAATGATTTTTAGTATGACTCATAAATCATAAAGCAACATACAGCATTAAGTTCAGATGTGTATTTTTTCACAAAATAAAATAGTATAAAATACTGTCCTACTTTTTAAAACTTTGGACAGGACATTGACCGTAATTCAACAGAGAATGTTTTAGTTAGATGTTATAGTCATCGCAAACTGTGACACTAAAACCTTTGGTCCTATGAAGATCAATAGGAGCATTCTAAAAACATTTTTCATATACTGTATTCACTGATACTGCAGACAGAAAGCCATCACAGGGATGTATGTTTTGATGCATGTGCTTTTAAACTCAGCCTCAGCAATTTATTACAGTGCTTTAATTGATGAGAAATTCTGGGTTGCAATACATCAAACTCACATTCAGATGTCACTTAAGAAACCATTTATAATCCATCAGTTTTTTATTATTATGGGGCACAGTGGCTGACATATTAAACAATGCTTGTGATTTATAAAAGTGTACCATGCCAAATGCCAAAACAGTATTATTATTTTGATAATCTAACAGTCAGTTCTCAGTCCATCACATGCATTGTTACTATGATATTTCACATACATCTAAATGGATCTTCATTTGATGCCATAGAGGTCAATGGCACCATTATTTTCATGGTTTATGAGGGGTGACGCATGTGTCTTAGAACGAAAGTCTGGTAATGTGAACTGACTTCAGCATAGAAAGCACAGCCCATATCCCAAACCGCCAGCGTACGGCCTGGATGTAAAAGATACCATCTTCTCGTCTATAAATGGCACGCAATGTGGCAGAGCTTCTCACGGGAGCAGAGATTTGCTGGAAGCTGTTATTTCGTCTGGAACTGCGAGGAAATAGAAATATATCTTTTTCCTTTCACACAACACTGTATTTCATATATTGCCCATACATTCTTCAAATCTCACCTTCACTTTTCAGATTTAAACTGCTCTCAACCCTTTGATTGTGTGAAAATGAGACATATTGATTCATGATTTATGGATGTCTTGCTGTGTGCTTTAGTTTAGTTAAATATATATATATTCCAAAGAATTATTAATTACACATCTGTGCACATGATGATTGATACCTGGACTAAAGAAAGACTGAAGAATAGTTATGTTACAGAATGATATTTTACAATTCGCTTTCTCATTTTGTGTTTATATCAATGTGGAAATAAATGCATGAATCCATCAAATAATTCTTTGGTCATTTTTCAGCATTTTTACTTGATCTAGGAATCATTTTACAATGACTTGTATGTGGTTGTTTGTCTGTGAAAACAAATTAATCAAAAGAAGCCAATGATCTGAAGCACCTAGGATGAAACTTGCTAATTTCCTTCATTGAGCGTAGGTGAAAATTAGAAAAGGGTAAAGGCATCTGGGGATTGATTCAGTGTTTGCTGTCATTGGAGACAAATGAGAATTAGATTTTGCTTGTCCTCCTGTCTGCCTCATCAGGATATTTGATTAAATCACTCCTTGAGGCTGAGATTTATTCTGATCTGTGTGTATTGGGGGGAAAGTGGTGACAGGAAGATAGCTGGTGATGCGTTTGGCATAAAATGAAAGCTTATTTGAATTAAATAGTCTTTCCTCTCTGATGAGGTCACAACCCGCTGCTCTTCCAGTGGATAGACAGATCAATTTTCAGAAAGATCACAGTGGTGGTATTACTGCCTTGAAAAAGCAGCAATCAAATATCCTGCCTCTGCTCATATATACAGTGTCTCCCTCATATATCTTTCTCTTCTCACCACATTTAAAATACAGCATAGGTGACTCAGGAGTTTATTTAATAATCTGAAATCCTAAACAGCTGTAGACACTGAAGGCAAAGAAACAGCAAGAAATGTTTATCAAATTAATTATTAAATATATAATACATAAGAAAATATTAATATAAATATTTTTTTAAAATCTAAGTATTCCAGACTTTTGACAGATAATGTGTGTGTGTTTGTGTGTGTGTGTGTATCTGATATTCCCTACATTATAGGGACCAAACAAGTATAGTAATAACAGTACATTTTGATCTTGGTTGCCTGGTCTGATGAGTCTTGATTTCTGCTACGACATTCGGATGGTAGGGTGAGAATTTGGCATAAACAACATGAAAGCATGGATCCATCCAGCCTTGTATTGGTGGTTCAGGCTGGTGTAATAATGTGGGGGATATTTTCTTTGAGCACTTTGGGTCTCTTAGTACCAGTTGAGCATAATTTAAACGCCACAGCCTTCCTAAGTATTGTTGCTGACTATGTCCATCCATTTATGACTACAGTATACATATCTTCTAATGGTTACTTCCACAGGATTACAAAGCTCAAATCAACTCAAACTGGTTTCTTGAACATGACAATGAGTTCACTGTACTCCAATGGCCTCCACAGTCACCAGATCTCGATCCAGCAGAGCACCTTTGGGATGTGGTGAAACAGATTCACAGGTGACAGGTGAAACACCCGCCAGAGATTGGCATCATGGATGTGCAGCTGACAAATCTGCAGGAACTGCGTGATGCTATCATATTACGCACAGTGTAGACAGTTCATGGCCTTTGATTTCATGCATTCAAATCTGCAACCTTTCATTGACTCCACTGCACTACTACTCTACAGCAACCCAGCAATGTTCAGGAATGTCTCCATGTATATCAGTGCGCAAGCTATTTTAAGATCTTGAAGCAGATGGAGCCAACCAAAACCCAACAAGTGTCTGACCTTTTACATGGCACCCTGAACAGATGAGCTGTCCCCTCATAAGACAGTGTTGATCACACAGAGAAGCAGGGGACACACTTTGTGAATGTTAATATATTCATAGCAGGTGCCTGAAGAAAGGCCCTCACTAAGTGTCTCACACATTATTTATATGAGGGCACATCAGAATAAACAGAAAGCATGGAGCAGCTGTCTGTCCTACCTGAGGAATTGATTCAAAGTTTTGAAGCCAAGCTTGAATGTATCTATCCAAACCATGTATTACTGTTGGACAGGAAATAGCTTCTGGGGGGGATTACTTCAATTGTAATCAGGCTCTCAGATCAATCTGAATGAAAGAGATATGTGAATATTCCAGATGGCCCATTACTAAATTACTTTATACGGATTATGAAATTAGAGCAGTCGTTTTATCTGACTCATTTGCCCACAGGTACTGCTTTAGTCTTTATAGTAGCTCACTGTTGTTTAAAAGGGATGAATGTTTTAGGTTACGAACTAGCCTGGAATATAATGAGTTTTAATGCAACGGAACATTTTATAGTCACAAAAAAAAGACTTCTGCAACCCAGTGGAAATCACAACATGAGGGCTGAGGCTCTCATTGTATGTACCACTTTTTTTGCATTTGCATATATTATTTATTTATTCCAGAATTTTTTTTTTCAGCAAGCACACATTAAATTGATCAACAGTGACAGTAAAGACATTATTTACATATATTTCAAATAAATGCTTTTTTTTTTTTTACTTTATATTCATCAATTGATAGAATGATTTCTAAAAGATCATGTGACACTGAATGGCTGCAGAAAATCACAGGAATAAATGACCTTTTAAAATTCATTGCAGTTATTTTAAATTGTAAATATATGTTACAATATTAGGCTACTGTATTTTGATCAAATAAATTCAGCCTTGGCGAACATAAGAGACTTTCAGAAACAAGACATTACCAACCCAAATAAACTTTTAATGGTGTATAGCATAGCCTACATTTCAAAAGCCTTTCAAACAATGTTTTATTAACTAGAAAGTGTCATTAATTAGTCATAGCAAGCTAAATACACTCCCAAACACCTGTCACATTCGCTTAAGGAATGGCAACAGTAAGCTGCTCCACCAGTATTCGATAAAACATTTTAGCATTGTTATTTTTATCTTTACAAAACAAGATGTCACAAGTACTACAAAAAGTGCTTTCTTAAAAAGTTTTTAAAGGGGTCCTATTATGCTTGTTCACTTTTTCAACTTTAGTTAGTCTGTAATGTTGCTGTTTGAGCATAAAAAAGATCTGCAAAGTTACAAAGCTCAAAGTTCAATTCAAAAGGAGATATTTTATTTAACAGAAATCACTTTTCAAAAACTACAACGAACGACTCGTTTGGACTACAACGCATATTTTCCGGGATTTGTGATATCACAAATATCGACGATTGAGATGAGACCTGGTTGAGCTGTACTAGAGAAGGCAACGAGTGTTATCACTATGTCGGAGACACGCTAAAGGCAGACGA